TCAAGTGAAAAAGTATTTCATCTGTTTTTATAATGAATAATATTGATAAATTATTAATGATAAATAAATGAAAAACACCTTTAAATTTACATGTCCCGACTGAATCTAAAATAACAAATCCATCACAAGAGAAAAAGGCAAAAACAAAGGCCTTTGTCGCCCTCTTGTGGAACTGTGAGTAAATGCCTAAAGTGCCATTTGATTTTTATTTATTTTTTTGTCCCACAGCTGTCAGTGTCTTTACCGTATGATGCCAAAGTCGTTGAAGTATCCTCCTCTTCCCTGAGTGCCAAACGGTTCTTTGAAGGTGAGGACCACACAGGCCACGCTGTCTCTGTTCCAGATCGGCCCAAAGATTCTGTTCCCAAACCTGCAGCAAACACATGGATCAATGTTCACTGTTGATCACTGTTGATCACTGAGCAGCAGCAGCAGCAGCAGCAGCAGCAGCAGCAGGAGGGGGGGGGAGCCGGGAATGTCCACAGGACACAGTCTGAGCAGCGGAACAGCTGAAAGTGAAGTTTGAATAAATCTCCATGGAAACAGTAACTTTATTATGTTAATTAATAAAAAAATGTTTCTAGTGAATGTACAGTTGACATATTATGGGCAAAAACTGAGAAATATTTCTAGTGAATGTACAGTTGACATATTATGGTCTCAATACAGTACATTCAATATCTGTAATTGTACTGTGAGTTTGTAGTAATCTGTGAATGTTGTAGTACACCACTGAAAAATACACAGTGGTAAATATAGAGATGAAAAACATTTTTGTCTTTTCATTTCAGTTTTTAAACATATCATAATAATTTCAAAACTCATTTCAGATTTGATGATAAATCATTCAGTTTTTAACATAATAATTTATCATAATAATAAAAAACTCATTTCAGATTTGATGATAAATGTGAATAATCTGAACCCATTTAATGTAAAGCCTCATTTTTATATCACTGTTATGATCAGTGTGTACTTTTATATATTTCTAATGGGATAATTCAACCTAAAAAAAAATTCTTGTGACGTACTAAAATGTAATTCTACTGGACTTATTTGAAAACGCCACAGTCCAGTCCAGTCCAGTCCAGTCCAATACAGTCCAGTTCAGTCCAGTCCAGTCCAGTCCAGTCCAGTACAGTTCAGTCCAGTCCAGTACAGTACAGTCCAGTCCAGTCCAGTTCTCTTACCGGAGCACCATCAGGTTCTGCACCATCTCTTTGCCCAGATAGTGATCGATGCGGTAGATCTGGTCCTCAGTGAAGAGAGAGGAGAGGTGAGCGGAGAGTTCCTCGGAGCTTTTCAGGTCATGGCCAAAAGGCTTCTCCACTATCACCCTGTTCCAACCTCTGCACACACACACACACACACACAGGAGCACAGAGTGTGTAGGTGTTACAACAGAAACAGATGATTCTCAGACGGTCGGTCACTGACGGACGGACGGACGGACGGGGACGTTTTCACACTGACTTTGAGCTCATACAGTGGAGACTGATGTTTTTGGTGACATCGTGATAAACCGTGGGTGGGAGAGCCAGATAAAAGAGGCGGTTGGCCTCGGCCCCGCCAGGCAGGGACAGGACGTGCGAGTTGAGTTTGACGAAGGACCCCTCGTCGTCGTATTTCCCGCTGATGTACGTGTTCCGGCTGAAGAAGGCCGACAGACGCTCCGCCTCCGTGTCGGTCGCCTGACGAGTGAACGTGAACAAACACTTGGATTAAACTGTTAGGTTTTGTCTTTAAAATGCTGCTGAAAAGTGATTTAAAGAGCTGTTAAAGGTGTGAGCATTTTTATGGCCACTAGAGGGCAGCAGGAAGTAGTAACTAAATTTGACATCTCTTTATCTACAGGGGGTAAGAGTGACTAGTTCTCTCCTCTAACAGAGCCTCACTTTAGGAACCACTGCTGAAATTCACAGTTTGACTAAGTGACATATATAAATATATTGTAAATATTTTGCAAAGTACTCAAAGGGTTAATAATACTATGTCGGTCTCACCTTCAAGTATTTCAGACATGAAGCTCGGATGGCGTCCACCGTCAGGTCAGATCGAGCGAAGCCCACAAAATACGTCTGCTCAGGGAGGAGGCCGTCTCTGAACAGCCACCTGGACAGGAAGTGAAGCTCGGTCACACGTCGCCCTCTACAGTGTAAACATCAGTACGTCTGTCTACATACAGAGGTCCACTCACCACAGTGTGGGGTAGATCTTTTTCTTGGCCAGATCACCCTGCAGGAGGAAAAAGGAAATACTTTTTTAACTTTATTCAAGGTTCCCACTCTTTCATGGAAAACATTTCCAGGACTTTCCAGGACATTTCTGAGGGGGGTTGTTTTTTTTTTACATTTTTTTAATAATGAAATATCCTGATCTCTCCTCTCCTGATCCCGTATCAATCTCCTCCTCCATCAGTTATTGATTCATTATTTTTGATTTATTATTTTTCTCACCAACTCCCAGTCCAATATTCCTGGTGTTGGTTCATGTTCTTTTTCTTTTCTTTCTTCTCTAGTGATTCCAAATGTAGATCCCTCTGTTCTATATACAAATCTGTTCATTAAATATTTAAAGTTCATTTAATATTTAACAGTAACGTCATTCATTTAATTCATTTCATAATTTAGTGAATGTTTGCAAATTTGGAGGAGCATTCAACTGGTGTTACAATGAGATGAAAAGAACAGGTGGAATGAACAACACACACACACACACACACATACACACACAACAACACAACACCACAGGCATTAACAAAGAGCTGCACACAAACCCCGGCGGCTCTTCCTCCTGTGTGTCAGGTGAGAGGAAAACGCTGACAGTTGGTGACGCTGCAATATCCAGGCCGTAAATATGTGTAACAATGAGGAAGCTGTCGGAATTACTTAAATGTGTTCCGGAAAGTTCTGATTTAATGAATTAACTTCCTCTTTTTTAAATTTGTTTAAGATTTTTTTTTTCTTTTTTCAAAACAACACAGCGCCTAAGGGGCCAGGATTCAAAGTAGCAGTTTGAAAGAAATCAGTCTGATCCTTTAACCCTATTTGTCGAAGGAGTTACAGTACATTTTAATTTATTGACATCTGACTTTTGCAGAGGTCTGTGGTGTGTGGTGTGAACCCAGGTCTCATTGGGTGCACTTCATTCCAAATGATAATAAACAAGGAAGTGGATGAGAAAATATCTGATTTCAAGTTTATAACAAAGAACTGACAAAGAGGAAGCTCCGGTGTCTCAATTCTTGTGAAAGCTCTGCTCTGATCACCTCACAGTTCACTCTGTCCTGCGGCTCTAACAGAGTTCCTCAAATCTGTGCCACAAAAGTCCACGTTGATACGTTGGGTCCATGACAAATATGTATCCCAAACCAAAGCTTGTGTGTGTGAACTCACCGACGCTCCCAGGATGAAGAAGATGTGAACGTCGGACTGATGGAACTCCTCATCGTCGTACAGCTCCTTCCTCAGCTCCCCGAACACCTCAGAGCGAGAGAGGGGGATGGTGGTGCTCATTTTCTCTGGAGAAAAGTGGACATGGATTTGAAAATTAATTATAATTATATAACTGGGACAACAAGGGTTTGTTACCGGCAACCATCATTTCTAACCATATTATCTTGTTCGCAGAATCTAATTTGATGTTTGGTCTGACAGAAAGACAGAAGCTAAGCTAACATAGAAAAAACACAACAAAATACAAAGAAAAGTATTATATTATATATTTATATAAATATATGTATATGTTTATATAAATATATATATACATATATTATAGATTTAAGTAATCAAATGATTAACTATAATTTATGTTTATTTAAACAATATTTATACATCTATTTATCCATCCGTCATTGAGCTAGCTAGTTAGCAGGTTAGCTTTCTTTAGTTACAAAATAATAATAATAATAATGAGTGCATAAGAATGATTGTTACTGACAAGATGGAGATTTAGGAAGAATTTTATTTCTTTATTTTATTGTTATTATTATTATTATTATTATTAATATTATTGCATTCCAGCTGCTTCAAATGTATTTGTTATTATTTCAGATTTTTATTTTTTCAGTTCGGTTGACAATTGTCGTCTCCACAAATGGATGTTTGACTGGTTTTGTAAGAAAGAAAAAATGTCATCACAGTCACGGGATTTGATTTTTATTTCAACTATATTGTTTTACCAACGCAATCAACTCATAAACAGAGCATAAAGTTATTATATATCACCAACTGCAGGGAGGAGGAAGGAGGAGAAATACCTGTTGTACTGTATATCCACGGGCGTCAAGCTTAAGTCATGTACACTATAATTGACATACCGTAACATAATAATAATAATAATTAACACTAATTTGGCCTCAATTCTTATCGTCAGTCCAAAACAAATCATGAAGCAGGAGTTATGCTCTCTGTACAAACGCACCAACCGTAATGACATTAGTGAAATCCTCCGCTAAGTCCAGTATTTAGTGGCTAACACTAATAGCACGATAAAGCTGGATATCTTCGAACAACACTTCACCCTGCGGTGTGAGTGTGTGTGTGTGTGTGTACATGTGCGAGGCGCTAATTATAAAACCGCCCGGTCATGTTCCTTTAGCTTCACATAGAAAAATTATGACAACAGAGCAGAAAGACATGCTAGCGGACACACACGGCTACGTCGGCCGGGGAGAAAAAAAGCGAGATAAAATACACGAATTAACGACTCACTGCCGCTGCTCCAGGCTCAGATAAGGAGAAAGATAAAGCCGCAGCACAAACAGAAAAGTCCCCTTCGCGCCGTCTGTCTCTGACAGTGCGGGTGTCAGTAGCGGGACAGTCTCTCTTATCGCTGTGGCTTCTTCTGCCCACTTCCCTGTTTCTGTGACAAGACCGATTTGAGAGATTTTATTGGTTTGACACAAACTCACCAGCGCTCGCTAGAGTTCCCATCATTGTCGAATGCGGCGACGTCACCGCCCTCTGCCGGTGGGCGGGGCTTCGAGCGTCCTTGACAAACTCATCACCCTGTTGACCGTGTAAGTCTGTACGAAGGAGACCGAAATAACCCAATAGTCCAAAGACTTATATAATTGTAAAACGTGTTCAACTTTAATAATTATTTTTTTAAATTATTGTATTTTATTTTATTATTATCTCTCAGGTTTAATCGTTGTATCTTTGTCTGGTGTTGTTTTTAATCAAATTGTTTTTTTTTTAATCAAATATTTTAACATTTTTTGTACAAAAACGTACAATTCTGTAATCAGAAAAAAACATTATTTTTTAAAAAAGTGGAATGAAAAGAACTTTGAAATCAAAGTTCACTACATCTGATTTTTTTTCCCTAAAAGCTGAATGAACATTTATTTCGTTGTGTCAGCAGAATAAAGTAAATATATAATAAGGTAAAAGCCCGTCTGTTCTGTTATTTTGTGCATTCGTGTGCCTTAAGAACAGAAGTACAGTACCTGTGTTGAAGAAGTGACAGGAATGAGGAACAGACAAATGTAATTATTTCCTTGTGCAACCAGGAAGTAGTGCAACCAGAGCTTACGTAACCTTGGTGTTCAAAATGTTTGAACGCCAGCTCTTAAGCCGTACTTTTGTCTTCATCTTAACGAGCTAATGTCTTCATGTGTTAGTGTAGCGGTTTTTTTTCATGGAAAATTTTTATTATATAAATAAATGTCCACCAAAGCCACCATTTATATAGATATATTTTTATTTTTTCTTCAAGGGGAAATGTTAAGTTTTCTCTTTGCCATAGTCCTCGACTCTCTTCTTGTTCCTCGACCCACAACACGTCCCACCTCTCCACTCTTCCAACTCAGGAAAATACAAAGAAAAACAAAAACAAACACGGAAGGATTCGTCAGGCCTGAGCGAAAAAACACTGTATCAGTAGTACGGAGACAACCTTCCACCCCTGGATTAGTCCCCTGAAAACATCCCAAAAACTAACAATCAAAACAAGTTTATGGACAGCCAATAGAAATGGAATACATACAATGCACTTTTGTTTGTTTTTTTATAAACTCGTGTCCGTTTTAAAAACTCGTCGCTTCAGTGAATCACTCCTCGATGGTCACAGTTCAGGTGGTAGTTGCTGATCTCCCTTACATGGTTGTGTGCACCAGGCCTGAGCTCTGATGTCATCAAGGTCATTGCACAAGTGGGTTTTGAAGGAACAAGGCTGTGTGAGTTGGCTTTGGTACAAACAGGATCAACTGTTGGTCGCCATCGGGAGCGGTGGAGGCGCTAACTAAGGGCCGATACTCTGGGAGGAACCAACACCAGTGGAGCGATCCGTCCAATCATCATCGTCGTCCAGGCAGAGCAGCAGGCACACGTCCCATTTAACTTTAACAGGATTTGTTTGGTTGTTTGTTTGTTTGTTTCAACTTAAGGCAATTCAAATTATCTGACAGACTGAACAGAGGGAGGAGAAATGTGTGCAGGGGCCACCGGGTGTGTCCCACCTAGTGTTAGCTGTAGGGATGTCCGATAATAACTTTTTGCCGATATCCGATACGCCCAATATCGTCCAAACACTTAATTTCTGATTCAGATATCGACCGATGTCGATATAAGCCTGGTAACTGTACAAACCACTGCATGAGCTGCAATACCGATATAAGCCTGGTAACGGTTATCTGTACAAACCACTGCATGAGCTGCAATGCTGCCATCTAGTGACTTAGACTTTAATATGCAGCCGTTTTTCCCCCAAAAAACTGTGTTATCAGGTTTTCACTATCGGAGGAAAAAACGATGATGATTCTTACAGATGATACATAATTATGCTAATATCAGGCCGATATTATCGGACATCCCTAGATATCAGTGACAAAAACGGAATCCTTGGAAGGAGAGGTCACCGCACAGAATACTGCAGTAGTGACGTAAATTAAAAAAAGCCACGTGGGTAGTATGTGGATGTTTGTACTGCTATGCCAACGTGAGTGCACAAACGTCCCGCCGTGCATGACGACACCAGCCGCAGAATTAAAATACTGTAGTGAACACCGAAGGAGCGTCGAACACAATTCATTGGCTGTAGTTGATCAGGTGCTACCAGTTAGCTTCAGCTTCTCGACTGGTATTTCCCTAGAAAGCGTGCTGGTCTTTGATCCTTTTCCCGTGGAATGAAATCGTCACAAGATGCATAAAAATGAATCGTCCCCAAAGTCAGAACAACAGCATTAAGAATTTACAAACGATGGAGGCAGGAGTGATACAAAATCCCCTGGAGTGAAAAACAACCCAAAGTGAAACGGGTTACTACGATCGGACATGCTTCAAAGCTGTTGTGTTGGCAAGAAAATCAGGTTCGTTGTTTCATAAAAACCTCACAGTGAAAATAGTTTTGCCCGACCAGAATTACAAAGCACAGTTTTCAGTCAAAATATGTTTGTTTGTTTGTTTGTTTGTTTGCTCCACTTCATCTATTTCTTCTTCACGGAAGAATCCGGCTTTACAGAACCACTGCCCCCCCCAGACCCTCGAACCCCCGACCCCCAGACCTGACAACATCCACTGCTCTGGAGCAACACTATCATCAAAATTCCTTCATAATTATTTGCACAAAAAATATATCTCTGAAGGGGAAGGAGCTGACGTCTAGAACAGGGATCCCCAACCCCCGGTGCGTGGACCAGTACCGGTACGTAGATAATTTTGCAGTGTATTTTATTATTACTAATTTAATTAGTAAATCCACTCTCGATTTGAAGATAAGATGGTAAAAATTAAAATTAATGTCAGTGAGACTGCAAAACTAACAGAAGTCTAAAAAATGTTTTATTTTGAAAATGTATTGATCCTTAATGATTCAAAAACCGGTCCTTGGTACAAAAAAGGTTGAGGATTTCTGGTGTAGAACACACTGTTAGGGCTGAAGGTTGCCATGCCGGGGGGGTGA